GCGGCGAGCAGGCTGAGCGCAGGCGGCCGTGGGCGGGGACTCTCCCGCTTTCTCCCGGCTCCCCGGCCAGGCTACAGCGACGGCCGCCAGGAAACCTCGCTCTCCCCCGGCCGGGAGCGCGGAGGGCCGGGGGAGGCTTGCCTGGGAGGGACGGCGAGGGCAGCGGGAGGCCAGCCGAACCGCCGGCCTTCACCGGCCCCCAGCCGCTCGCTCCGGCCTGGGCGCCCGGGTGCCGACGCGTCCCCTGTGGGCAGCGGCGGTAGCTCCGGGCGTCCGGTCGGCGCCGCGGCCCAGGCGCCCCCTTCTCTCAGCCCCCGCGCACGCCGCCGCGCTCCGCCTCGCCACCGAGTCCCCGCCGGGCGAGAGCGGCCCCACATCCGGGGACTGCCGCACCCCAGGCCCGAGCGGCAGCGCCTCCGAGGGACTGCGAGGAGGCTCCGGGGCCAGAACAGGGCGGGCAGGGTTTCGGGGAGAGCCGCGCGAGGCAGGAAAGAAAAGGAAACGGATCCCTAATCGTCTCTCCGGGACCAGTGGGAGTACGCATGCGCGCGGTCCGGAACGGGGAACACGGAAAGCTCCAGCTTTCTGAGGAGCTATAAAGGGCGGATCTCCGGCAGTGGCACGGCGCTTCCCATTGGCTGTGAGGAGGGGACCAGGCCGACCTGGAGGTGGAGCTGAAGGCAGTGAGGATGGGGATGCGACCCCCGGCTGCTGTGACTGCTGCTTTCCATAGGTCAGTGTTTCAGGCGTTCCTAGGTGTACTGGAGGTGAATTTGAGATTGCATGTTAGGTTAGGCTTCATTTTTGACGGGAGCAGGAATGGGGGGGCACATTGTGAGTGCCCCATTACTCAAATTAAGAGTGGCTTAGCCGGGCGTGGTGGTGCACACCTTTAATCCCAGCACTTGGGAGGCAGAGGCAGGCGGATCTTTGTGAGTTCAAAGCCTGGGCTACACAGTGAGTCCCAAGCCAGCTGAGGCTACAGGAGACCCTGTCTAAAAAAAAAAAAAAAAAAAAAAAAAATTAGAAGCATTTTAAATCAGAGTGCTGTTTTTTTAAATATATTATTTATTATTTTTATTTTATGTGTATGAGTGTATTGCCTGCATGTATGTGAGTGCACACTTGTCATGCAGTGCCTGTGGAGGTCAGAAGAGGGTGTCAGATCCCCCTGGAACTGGAGTTAAGGACGGTTTGTAGCTGGGGATCAAACCTGGGTTCTCTGCAAGAGCAGTCGGCTCTTAACCGCTGAGCCATCTCTCCAGCCCCCGGAGTGGGTTTTTAAGCTAAACAAAATGGCCTTGTGAATTGCACGGTAAAGCCTTTTGGGAAAATGTGCCTTTGCCTTTGGCAGAGTCAGGATACTAAGCAGTGGATACTAATCCACTCATCATATTATATTTATTAATATATATATATTTAAATTGGCTTTGGAGTGAGAGGTGATAAGGATTGAACCCAGGGCCTTACACATGTTAAACAAGTACATATTCTACCTTTGAACTACACTCACAATCTCTGGCCTTTTTAAAAATATATTTTATTTAGCCGGGCATGGTGGCGCACACCTTTAATCCCAGCACTTGGGAGGCAGAAGCAGGTGGATCTTTGTGAGTTCGAGGCCAGCCTGGTCTACATAGTGAGTTCCAGGACAGCTGGGGCCACAAGGAGACCCTGTCTCAAAAAAGACAAAATATATACATATGTTTTTTATTTATTATTTAAACTTGTTATGTGTATGATTGTATAGTCTGCATATATGTAAGTGCACACTTGTCATGCAGTGCCTGTGGAGGTCAGAAGAGGGTGTCAGATCCCCCTGGAACTGGAGTTATAGCAGGTTGTTAACTGCTGTGTGGGTGCTAGGAATTGAACACGGGTCCTCTTCGAGGGCAGCCAAGGCTCTTAACTACTGCCATCTCTCCAGCCCCTGGACTTTTTTTTTATTTTTATTTTTATTTTTTGGTCTTTTTGAGACAGGGTCTCCCTGTAGCCCCAGCTGTCCTGGAACTCACTATGTAGACCAGGCTGGCCTTAAACTCACAGAGATCCGCCTGCCTTTGCCTCCCAAGTGCTGGGATTAAAGGTGTATGCCACCAAGCCCGGACCATGGACTTTTATTTTTAATACCATATCTTTTGAGATTTGGTTTTGTTTCTGTTTAAAATAGAATCTCCCTACATAGTCTAATCTTGCCTCAAGCTGGAGACTCTCCTGCCTTAGCTCTCAAGTGCTGAGATTACAGGTGTGCACCAAACTAGTGACAGACTTTTTAAACTATTTTTTTCTGAGCACAGCATCATCATCAACACCTGTAACTCAGCACTTGGGAAATTAGCAAGAAGTATATAAGGGTGAGGCCAGCCTAGGCTACATAGTGAAACCATGTCTCAAAAAACATAAAACCCACCAGAATTTTACTTCACTTTTAAGTGAATAGCTGTAATTCCATAAACTGAAAAGAAATTTTAAGAGGCAATCCAAGCTACTGGTTTTCTTTTATGGAGAGAGGGGAGTGGCTTTTTGAGACAGGATCTCATGTAGCTCAGACTGGTCTCAAACTCACTAGAAAATCCCAAATATCCACATTGTGCATGTTACACTAAACATTGTAAGAAACTAAGAAATCTTTAGATCACTCCTGCATCCCTAGATGTTTAAGTTATTATTCTCCAAAGTAGATATGCCCCATTTACTGTGTCATACATGTCTGCACATATGTTTACTTACTGTCCATTTGGGCTTTTTATTTTTTATTTTATGTGTATGAGTGTTTTGCCTGCATGTATGTAAGTGCACCCATGTCATGCAATGCCCACGGATTTCAGAAGAATGCATCAAATCCCCTGAAACTGAACCCGGGTCCTCTGCAAGAGCAGCCAGTGCTCTTAACCACTGAGCCATCTCTCCAGCCCCTTAACTGTCCATTTGTGAAGAAACATTTAGACTCATTCAAAACTTAGGAGATTTATTTTCTTTTAACTACAGGTAAGATAAGTAAGTCCTTGCCCAATAGTTGAAATAAGTGTGCTGTTTACCTATTATTCTACTATGAATGAATTTCTAGTCACTTTACAGACTACAGAAATGTGTGCTCTTTGGACAAAAACTATTGACTTCGCATTATCTCCTTTAACAAGTAGATCTCAAAACATAGAAAAATAAAACACATAAGTTCAGATTAAGTTTTATTTCCCAACCATGTGGTAGCTGCTGCTTTCCTGCACATGATGATTCATGATGATTCATTCAGGGATGCTGTTCCAGCATCCCCTAAGAGTATGTATGTCTAGCTAAAGGACAGGAGGAGGGGAGATAGAGAACGATACTTCTTAAAACTCTTCCCTCAAAATTGTCACATTCCATCATCAGAATTCCAGCACACCTATTTGAAAGGGAAGAGAAATATAGTCTAGTTGAGTGCCCATGCACTGTGTATTACCTGTGATGGCTAATCCTGGGTGTCAACTTGACTGGATCTGGGATTAACTGAAATGAGAGAGATCTTCTTAATTGGATCATCTGAAGCTGGAAGACACACCCTAAATTTCGGTGTTATTTTCTGATGGCAGCCCGTATAAAAGGCTACGACCGCCAGGCTTCCTGCTGCTTGCCTTCATTCTCGCTGGTGAGTTCGTCTTGCTACTGCAGACTGAAGACTAGCTGATCTTTTGGAATTTGTCAGACCTTCAGCGCCAGATTGGGACTACTGAGACATCCAGCCTCATGAACTGAGCGACTATGGATTCTCAGCCTCTCCAGTGTGGTGCAGCCATTGTTGGACTACTCAGACTCTATACTGTGAGCTAAGCTGATACATCTCTATACATATATGTTCATTCTACCAGTTCTGTTTCTTTGGAGAACCCTGACTAATATACCTACTGACCACATGGGAAAATATAAATCACTCTTCAGTATTCAAACAACAGAAATTTAACACAGAACATTGTCTGCAAAAGTGTTGGAAGGGCTGCAAAAGCAAAAAGGCATTAATTACTAGAAAACACTATCCCCCAGTACTAGAAAAGCAAAAAAGGGCATGGTACTAGGAACCATGATCACTGTGCCATTGAGGCTGGCTGAGTAACTCCTGCTGTTGGAACTATTGCTGTCTAGTAAGCCAGGAGCTCCATCAGAAGGAAGAAGCAGAATTTGAATTCTCTCTCTTCTCCCCTATCTCCTACAACTAGCAAGAAGAGCCTACAGTTTCATGCACCATTCTGCCATACTTAAACTTCTATATAACATAAAAATAACATCAGGAATGTTCCTAGCAAAATAAAAATATTCCACGTAAAATGAAAATAACCTTACCCTCCTTTCTATATTAGTTATGTTTCATTGTTGCACACAGCAAAGCTGGAGGGGCTGAGCCAACTGAGCCCTTTGGAAGTAAAGGCCCAGAAGTTGAATGTGAAATTACTGGATTTGATGTTTGCCCTGTTTTGGTCTGGCATTTCCTCACTTTTGGAAAGAGAATGTGTATTTGGTTCCATAGTATGTTGGAAGTATGTAATTTATCTTTTGATTTTACAGGGGCTTTCAGTTAAGAGATTGCCTTGAGTCTCTGAAAAGACTTTGGACTCTGAAGTTTTGAATAGTATTGAGACAAGTAAAGACAATGAGGATTTTTGAAAGTGAACTAAATACATTTTGTATTTTTTATGGTCATGAGCCTATGAGTGCCAGGGAGTAGAATGTGGTGGTTTGAATGAGAGTGTCCCCCACGGCTCTCCAGTTGGTAGCACTGTTTTGAGAGGTCTTAGAAGGTGTGGCCTCACTGTAGGAGGCACGTCACGGGGGGTGAGCTTAGTCAGTTCTTAAGCC